AATGGACCAGACGATGATCTACTACATCACACTGATACTAACGAATCAGATGATGATCTACCACATAACATTGATACCAACGAACTAGACGACGATCTACTACATCGCATTGATACCAATGGACCAGACGATGATCTATCACATCACATTGATACTAATGGACAAGACGATGATCTACCATATCAAACTGATACCAATGCACCAGACGATGATTTACCACATCACACTGATACAAATGCACCAGACGATGATCTATCGCATAACAATGATACCAATGGACCAGACGATGATCTACCACATCACACTGATACCATGGACCAGACGATGATCTACCACATCACACTGATACCATGGACCAGACGATGATCTACCACATCACAATGATACCAATGGACCAGGCGATGATCTTCCACATCACAATGGTACCAATGCACCAGACGATGATCTACCGCATAACAATGATACCAATGGACCAGACGATGATCTACCACATCACATTGATACCAATGGACCAGGCGATTATCTACCACATCACAATGATACCAATGGACCAGACGACGATCTACTACATCATACTGATACCAACGAATCAAATGATGATCTACTACATCGCATTGATACCAATGGACCAGACGATGATCTACCACATCACATTGATACCAATGGACCAGGCGATGACCTACCACATCACATTGATACCAATGAACCAGACGATGAACTACCACATCACACTGATACCAACGAACCAGACGATGATCTACCACATCACACTGATACCAACGAACCAGACGATGATCTACCACATCAAATTGATACCAACGAACCAGACGATGATCTACTACATCACACTGATACCAACGAACCAGACTATGATCTACTACATCGCATTGATACTAATGGACCAGACAATGATCTACCACATCACATTGATACCAATGGACCAGACGATGATCTACTACATCACATTGATAACAATGGAGCAGACGATGATCTACTATATCACACTGATACCAATGGACCAGATGACGATCTACCACATCACATTGATACCAATGGACCAGACGATGATCTACCACATCACATTGATACCAATGGACCAGCCGATGATCTACCACATCCCATTGATATCAATGGACCAGACGATGATCTACCACATCACACTGATACCAATGGACCAGACGATGATCTACCACATCACATTGATA